CATGGCCAACTCACAACAGCCAACTTGTCACAGTCAACTCACCATGGCCAACTCACAACAGCCAACTTGTCACAGTCAACTCACCATGGCCAACTCACAACAGCCAACTTGTCACAGTCAACTCACCATGGCCAACTCACCACAGCCAACTTGTCACAGTCAACTCACCATGGCCAACTCACAACAGCCAACTTGTCACAGTCAACTCACCATGGCCAACTCACAACAGCCAACTTGTCACAGTCAACTCACCATGGCCAACTCAAACTGGTGAGCTGGTGAGACTCAAACTGCTGAACTGCTGGCAGCTGGCAGTCAGCAGAATTAGCCTGCAGTACTGCATTCTAATCACTGGTCACTTTGGCTCTTACACTAATATCAAAATAAATGGTGGAATATAATCATTAAGGAAAAGATGCAAAAGAAGGGACAGAATGAAATCTGAATGACAAAAATTAAAATAATGTTTTATTTGTTTTAAATAATTAAATTGAATTGTCCTGAGGCAAGTTGTCCCACAGCAAGTTTGCTGTGGTGAGTTGTCCCATTCCACCATTTTTGCCTTCTTCTCCCCAATTCTCTCCTAAAATTTACTATTCTGCTTTCCTCTTATGTTACAACAACATGAGTGGGGAGGAGCGAAGATGAAAGTTGAAAGTATAGCAGGTGAGATGAAAGTTAATCCTGATCTCCAACTTGCCACTTCGTTTTCAAATTCCTACTATTGGCAAGAGCGTCACAATTGTTCAGTAAGAAAGGCAGATCCAGCTTTCTGGGGATGTAATTCTGCTGTTATTTACTCCTTCTGACAGAGCTCTTCATCGGAAGAGTTCTAGATATAATGGAGTTGAGATCAGATCAGATCAATATTTGGAATTCAAACATGCTTTTGGAAAGCTGACCTGTCATGATTAATGTTTTTAGCCACTTAGCATCTCAGTGGTTAACAATAAACTTGGGAGATAAGAAGAAGAAAACAACGGACTTATTTTATTCGCTTATAGCCCCATGCCCAAAACATACAATCTCCCCATCTCTAAGGTCACTGAAGGAGAGTGAAATAGAATAAAATAAAATATATCAAAAGTCAGAAATCAGCAGCAGCAGCAGGAGAACCTTGAATTTATCCACTGCAGGATGAAAGTTTCTTCATTAAAGGTTAAGGACTTTAACCTATCACGTTAATCCAGTGTGCGTAAGTAAACAGATGTTTTTGAGCGACCTAAAAGCAATTGCAATTGAGTGAAGCTTTTGTTCCGTGATTGACAATTTCAGTGGAGAAATCAGCAAGTAAAAGGTAGGTAACTTGAACTCAAAATAGGCAGCCTCGTGGGTAAGGCATGAGTTATGAGCTCTGAGCTCTGCACACCAAACACAATAGAGAGGACAACGAAAGTAGAGCTGGAAAAGAAGCAGGAACATTTTGCCTGGGGGAAATGGTTAGGGATAAAACACTGAACTTGCTAATGTGAATGTGCTTCTCTAGCATTAGTCCTATATAACACATAACCCTAAAATGGACAGGAAATACATACTGTGAAATATTCTATAAATATCTATATCTATATCTATATCTATATCTATATCTATATCTATATCTATATCTATATCTATATCTATATCTATATCTATATCTATATCTA